TCAAAAACTGTAATAATACTTGAGGAGTTTGTTTCTTAACTATCAACAGGAACTTTCAACCTAGTAATCGAGTTATTTTCTCATTTATGCATCAATCTATGTGTATGACTTTATTAGAAAAAGTATTTACTCTTGATTCTGTTTTAGGTATCCTTATGAAGCTGTACGAGTGGTTACATCCGATGGTTATGTTCTTCATCTAGAAAGGATCCCAAGGTTTGTTGTGCTGCTAGTTCTCTTTTGTCTTAATCCGTTTGTTGAACCTTTGATGATGCAGAACAAATTATTAAATGATGGTTTATAATTTTTATTGCTGTTTTTGTGTTGTTTACAGAAGAGAGTCACGGAAAGTTGTTTATCTGCAGCACGGAATATTAGACTCTTCTATGGGGTAAGTCATCTTTGACCACTTTCAATACTAATGTGATACATTTTTCTAATTTTGATGCATTTTAAAATAATCCTTGTTGGATTCTATCACATGGTGCATTTTTTATATAACTTTTTCAATGACCTTTTATTGTCGATTGTCGTTCCCTACCAATATGTGACATTCTTCAATATATTTGGTCATTCATGCATCACATTTTGGATATGTTCATTCTTAGATAATCCTCATAGATGTTTTTCAATAGACGCACAAAAAAGAAACCCGAACATTTCCTATGATAGAAATGAGGGTGGAAATTGAATAATCTGGTACATTGCAGCTGACTCTCTTCAATTTTCAACAAGATCACTTGAAGATCCTGTTTTTATCTGGTTTTTGGTTTTTTTATTATTACTTTAATTCATCATAACTTGTCTGGTTAAAGTACATTCCATTTTACAGTTGGGTATCCAATGGAGTTGTTGGTTCTCCAGCTTTTGCCGCCTTTGATCAAGGTTCACACTTCACACTCTCATTCCTTGTTACTTATATACGTGATCCAAATTGGCCGTGTGGTATAGAACTCAATTGTTTTTCTAAATGGTTTTTTCTTCCCATTTTTAGGGTATGATGTTTTCCTTGGGAACTTCCGTGGCTTAGTCTCAAGGGAACACGTCGACAAAAATATCTCATCTCGTCAGTAAGTGTCTAAAATCTCAACATTTAGCCATATGCTCGAGATGACTTTACTCCTACATCTAGAAATCGTGGGTGATAGACAACTTAATTTCTCATGACTCAAGTTAATAAACGACATCTTAAAAACACTCGACTAAAGCGTAGCCCATTAACAATATTTGTTAATTTTTCATATACGTTAAGATTAAGTGAAACGATGATCCATTATATTAGTCTTCTTTGTTAAAAGCTATGTTAAACAAGTATCTAGTAGAGTTGCTTGGTAACATATGAACTCATCATCTCTTGCATTTTGATCAAGAAATTGTTGTTATTATATTTATATCATCAAATTTGCACATTAAGCTCTTATTTAGGTTGTGTTTCGTAAGACTAGTTGAAAAGTTAACTGATAATCAACTTATAAGTGAATTTCGTATGGCTGAAAAACTAGCTGATATAATTAAAGTATTTAAAGTATTTAGTAAAATTAGTTGATAAGCCATCTGAAATAACAATGTTAACGAGCTTTCTGAAAAAACTACCTAAGTAAACTTATGAGATAAGCTCCAACTTTTAAAAAAAGCTCGTCCCTACCACACCAAGCATATTTGAATACAGTAATTTTACAAGAAGCTAACTAAGGCTGTGTTTGTTAAAGGATTCACTCAAAAAAAATAAATTCTACTCAAAATCTAACTCAACTTTAACTCAACCCCCCACTGTTCTCAATATTATCAATATAATAAAATAATAACAACTAATCATTAAATAATAACAACCAATCATTTTTACACATCATATCAACTTTAATTCACTATTCATCCACTCACATAATTTTAACTAACCATCACATCATATCATCTCTCTCCTATTTTTATATCAAACCAATTTTAATTATTTTATTTTAAATATTATTTTAATATAAACTCAAAATTTCACTAACAACTAACTACACCACTTTTTCTTAATTAACCCTAGTTAACTAAAAAAAATTATTTTGAGTTAATTCACTCAAATTATTCCTTTAACAAACACACCCTAAATAAGCTAGCTTATAGTGCTTACCAAACACACACTCTTAACACACTCATAACACACGCAGATACTGGAACTACTCAATCAACGAGCACGGCACCGAGGACTTCCCCGCCATGATCGACAAGATACACGAGATCAAAACCTCCGAGCTAGGCCCATCCCATCCCAACCTGGGCCCACAACCCTACAAGCTCTGCACCATCGCCCACAGCCTCGGCGGCGCCGCGGCCCTCATCTACGTCGTGACCCAACGCATCTTGGAGCGTCCCCACCGCCTCTCCCGCCTAATCCTCCTCTCCCCCGCGGGCTTCCACCACGACTCGGGCCCCGTCTTCGCCCTCGCCGAGCGCCTCTTCCTCCTCTTCGCCCCTCTCGTGGGCCCGTTCGTACCCGCCTTCTACATCCCGACCCGTTTCTTCCGGATGCTTCTCAACAAGCTTGCCCGAGACTTCCACAACCTTCCCGCCGTTGGCGGGCTCGTCCAAACCCTAATGGGCTACGTGGTCGGTGGGGACAGTTCTAATTGGGTTGGGGTCCTCGGGCTTCCGCACTACAACATGAACGATATGCCGGGGGTTTCGTTCCAGGTCGCGCTCCACTTGGCCCAGATGAAGCGGGCCGGAAGGTTCTTGATGTTCGATTACGGCGGGCCGGGCCCGAACTTGGAGGTGTATGGGGAGCCCGGCCCGTTGGATGTCGGGGAGTATTATGGGTTTGTGGATGTGCCGGTTGATCTTGTGGCCGGGAGGAAGGACCGTGTGATAAGGCCGTCCATGGTGAGGAGGCATTATCGGGTGATGGAGGAGGCGCACGTGGAGGTCTCGTATAGAGAGTTTGAGTACGCGCATCTCGATTTCACGTTTTCGCATCGGGAGGAGCTGCTGGCTTACGTCATGTCGAGGCTGATGTTGGTGGTGGGGCCCACGTCGGGGAGCGCGGCAACCGAAGTCGATGAGGGAGAAGGGTGTAATTAGGAGGAATTGTGGGGGGTCTCAGTGTAATTAAAGTGTAAAAGGTCACTCTGCTGCTCCCTTTATTTTTTGTCTTGTGTTGGGGGTGGGGAGGTTGAAATGATAATGAGNAAAGGTTATGTAAAGTATGTTGTGTAACTTTAAAATGTCCGGCTATTAATATGGACGGAATGAAATTTTCTACTTCAATTTCATGTTTCACTCTATTGAATTAATGACACAGTGTATATGATGATGTCATTTGTATACGTCTCATTCATCCAACAGAGTAGAACGCGCAATGAAACATGAAAATGGAGCAAAAAATCTAAATCATGCTTGTGCAATCTTGCTTTTGGCAATCTTTTAATACTTTGAATCATGTGATTTGATATAGCTTTTATTTTGGAGTATGAGGTAGAGGGATTATGTTGGAATATAGATTAGAGCCACGTTTGAGTATGATTTGGCAATGCTCGAGTTAAAGGAGGTCATTAATTTGTAGCTCGAGTTAGGATCTTAGGATGACCTGACTATGTTTGAGCCACAAGGAATAGAGTTGTTGCAAGGCAATGTTTAAATAAAAGGAGTTGGAATTACAGGAGTGATTAAAGGAGCTCATCAAGTCGAGCCGAGTTCACGAGAGCCTCGTTTCGTTTAACAACTCTAGTAGCTATCCAAGTATGGTTGAAACACTACTTGGGTGGCCACTTCTAGTGGCCCAGCATCTAATTAGTGCTATGTTCATATGAATCTATCTTTGCTAGAATTGCTAGCCACAAGTTTGACTACATCTAATTCAAAAATAAAATTAAAGAAAAAAATCTTATATGGAACAAATAAGTTTTCTCATTGAATGATTAGGGTTAGGCAAGTCCAACTTGTCACTTGCCTATCTGTGGGCTAAAATTGAGGCTCTAAAGTACTATAAATACAATGAAGGATATATATTAATGATAGAGAGCTATAAACTAAATGCCAACACTTAGACTGGCCTAACTCCTAATTAAAGTCTGTATTCAATTGGAGTGACTATAGGGGACTAACTATTATTTAGTATTTGATATTTTATAAGCTAATCAAAGTACGTAGTCGCGCATTGGTGGTTGGCTCCATAAAGGAGCCAATCATTGGTCCATAGCATTTCTCTTGATTTATACTCCCTCCTATTCATAATAAGTGTCGTTTTGGGAAGTTGCACACTAATTAAGAATAATTTTTTTGTCAATTATAACCCTCATTAATGAAGATAGAGATAGATGTTTTAAAAAAAAAAGATGAAGAGAATATGAAAAGACATAATGTATTTATTAACTAAATGAGGGTAATAATGGAAAAATATGTACAAAAGATCCAAAACGANTACTCATTAAAATGATTTTTTACTTTTATTAAAAAATATCATGCTTGAAAAAAATATAAAGTACAACATTAATAAAAATCATTTTACAGCATAATTATACATTTCTTATTGAAAAAATATGATGAATCCATACGTCTGCGATTATACCGCTCATACAAAAATTTGTGAAATTCAATATTTTAAAACTTTAAAAAACATATTTCCTTTTCTACTTCATGATACAATGAAGCATTGACACCCAAATTCAACAATCCATACCCCTTTAAAACTATTCTTCTTTTCAAGTAATGAAGGATATTTATGCATCTGATTTCTACATTCATCATAAATTAGTAGCTATACTCGCCTTGCTTTTAATGCAATCCTACCCCTAATTTATCAAACACCTCTACCATTTTATCACTATTTATTCACCATATTGCCTTCCAATTTTCTTCAACCCAACCCCAAAATAAAAAACAAAACAAAATTAAAAAAAAAAAACCCATCAATGGCCCAAACCCGAATACCCCTTCTAACATCCTTTCTCATATTAACACTCACTACTCCTTTTTCTTCTTCTTCTTCGCATGATCACCAGTTAAAATTCCAACTTCTCGACGTCTCGGGCTCATTACAACAGGCCCGTCGGGTTTTCTCCGGGACTTCTTCGAGCCTCCGAGCCAGCGCCGTTGCAGAAAGCCATCGGCCGGCACTAAACTCTTCATCTTCCATCCTCTCCCTCAGTCTCCACCCGCGCTCATCCTTACCACAAAACAACAACAACAATAACAACGATAATTACGATTATCACAACAACAACTACACTCACCTCACATTGGCCCGGTTGGCCCGGGACAAGGCCCGAGTCCAATCCGTGCACTCACGGGCCACGTTCGGTTACCTTCGGCCGGCCCAGTTCGGGTCGCCGCTCGTCTCTGGGCTTCGCCAAGGTAGCGGTGAGTACTTTGCACGAATCGGTATGGGCCGGCCCGCCCGAGACCTATACCTAATTGCTGACACAGGCAGTGATGTCAGCTGGATCCAGTGTCGACCATGCGTCGACTGTTACGATCAGTCGGACCCGATATATGATCCGTCGGCCTCCACCACGTACAAAGACCTCCCGTGCAACTCCGGCGAGTGCAATGCCCTCCGGAGGTCCGCCTGTCGGGTTAACACGTGTCGCTACCAGGTCAACTTTTGATTTTCTTTTTTCAATTAATAAATAAATAAAGTATGAATGTAGGGAAATAAAAAATGTAAAATTAGTTGATTAATTTATTAGTTTATAATTGAGACTAGAATCCAACTCATTTTATTGGAAAATTCTACAATCACGTGGGAGAAGGATTCCCTCAAATCAATATAAGCCATTAAATGTTTTACTTTGAATATGAACCCTTAAATTATTATTATCCCCAAAAAAATATATTTTAAATTACTAACCCTTCCATACAGGTAGCCTACGGCGACGGCTCCTACACCGTCGGCAGCCTCGCCACCGAGACGATATCCTTCGTCCCGTCCGGTGCCTCCGTCTCCGGGGTCGCCATCGGCTGCGGCCACAACAACGTCGGCCTCTTCTCCGGCGCCGCCGGCCTCCTCGGCCTCGGTGGCGGGCCCCTCTCCCTCCCGTCTCAGCTCCACTCTGCCTCCTTCTCCTATTGCCTCGTAAACCGCGACTCGGCCTCCGCCTCCACCCTCGACTTCGGCTCTGAGCCTCCACCGCCGCCCGACTCGATTTTCGCGCCGTTGATCAGAAACCCGTTCGTCGACACGTTTTGGTACGTCGGCCTCGCCGGAATCAGCATCGGAGGCCGGCGGCTACCGATCCCGCCGTCCCTCTTCAAGCTCGGCCGCGACAGGAGGGGCGGCGTGATCGTGGACTCCGGCACGGCCGTGACGCGGTTCCCAAGGGAGGTGTATCGAGTGCTCCGAGACGCGTTCGTGGGCATGGCGACGGGGCTCCCGAGGACCGCGACTGGGTTCTCGTTGTTCGACACGTGTTACGATTTGTCGGGCCTGCGGAGGGTGTCGGTTCCGGCGGTGTCGTTCGAGTTCACCGGCGGCAGAGGGACGTGGAGGCTGCCGGCGGCGAACTACATGGTGCCGGTGGACGGCCTGGGGAAGTTCTGTTTAGCCTTCGCCGGAATGGAGGGGACCATGTCAATCATCGGGAACATGCAACAGCAGGGGACACGTGTCGTGTATGACGTGGCTAATAGACGCATTGCTTTTAGCCCTAATAAATGCTAGGAATTTACGAATTGTGTAACTAATTGTTAGATCAACACACACTCACGAGATTTTTGTGTGTGAAGTGATTGATCCAACGAAATTTTAATTCCTCTTTGTTGAAATGATGAGATGATGTGTTTTGCTTACATAATTTAATGGGGTATATTTAATTGAGATTTCTAAAGACTTTAGAAATACCAGTGTGTTTAATTCAGATTTTTAAAAAAGGTATTCATTTTGGGATTTTAAAAAGTCTTACAAAATCCTAAGGTATTTAACTTACTTGATACTTAAAATTGTTAAGACTTTTTAAGATTTGGTGGAATTTCTAAAAAAAACTTACACGAAATTCCACTCAAAATCCTACCTCCAAGCTTAAGATTTCACATGATTTCTCTAAAATCTGAAAATTTTAAAAACATTCAAATTTATAAAAGTCTCAAAATATTACTCGAAATTCTAAACGAATACACCTCCTAAGTAGATTATGAGTTGTTGTAGAATAAAAAATAGTAAGTTGAAATATACCTATTTTAGAAAGCTTTTTATCCCTTCTTTTTCTCCTTAAAAAGCAGTCAAACTTAAAGTTAATTTGAAAATTTGATTTTCTTTGTCCATGTGGAATTTAGTGTTGAAATACAAGTTAAACTTAACAAAATAAATATAGTATTTATTTTGCAATTTTATAAAATGAAATAAGATTATAATGCTAAACAGGAAGTCGGTGCAAATAATCACTGTTTACATACCTTTATACAAAACTATACAGTAGTGTGATATTTTTATTTGTTTTCTCAATTTTTTTTAAAAAAATACTATACTATTATTTTTAATTACATTTATAAATTTCTTAAACTATACATCCCTCACAGATATTTATTTCACTTAGTATACAAATTGAAAAAAAATTTGTATGTTGTTTTTATATTGATATATAATATTTTATGTATAGTTGTCGGAGAGGTAATATTGAAAATTAACATACAATATTTGACAAAAAAAAAATAATACACAATTCTATCTATAATACTTAATTCTCTACCAAAATATTATCACGGATATTTTCCGCTAAAATAAATATAAATCTTATAGGCCACAATTGTTATTTATGCATATAACATACCCAACCAAATATAATTATTATAACAAATATATAGGTACAATACTAGCTCATGATGATATTCGCATCACGGACCAATTACATAATCATATAATTAATTTAATTTTTTAAAATTATGGATTTTTTTATAATATACATGAATGTAATAAAAAATCAATTTGTCTTTATATTATGTAATTTAGAATTTCAATATATTATTTATTTTAATATTTACTCCATAAATCATAAATTATTTTATTTCATAAAGTTAAATATATTTAAGAAGAAAAATAAAAACTTTATGGTTCAAGGTTGAAACTAAATGTTTATTTCATTAGTAAGATTTAAGTTTATTATAATATAGTCCAAATAGTTTAATTAAATATATTGTTACACATATGATCCTTTTATTCATATTCATATGGACAATATGGACAAGAAATTTTAATAAAAGTATTTACAAATGGTGTTACATATTATTTATACATCCAATCTATAAATACAAACTTAATATTACTTCTATGCAAGAAAGAAACGATTTTTTTTTGTTGGGTAACTAAAAAGTATTTACAAATGGTGTTACATATTATTTTTACATCCAATTTATAAATACAAACTTAATATTACTTTTATGCAAGAAAGAAACGGATTTTTTATTTTTTTTGTTAGGTACAATAAAAGACTAAAAAGCCTAGAGAGAACTTAACAGTATGGTTGATAGAGAATTGATCGTCATTTTCCTTCTCACATATATTTAAAATAGAATGATTTAAATTTCATTTTTGTATATTTATTTTATACTATTTTCAACCTTAAATTATTCAAATAATAATAAAAATTTATCATGAAAAATATAAACTAATTAGAGATTTTTCTTAAGATTTAGAAAGAAGAATATTTATTTTTATTGGTGATTATCAAAGTCAATATATAATTTTTATCTTCGTATATTTAAAATAATAATAACGATGAGATTGCGTAATGCATACAAAATTATGTGCCTATATCATCCGTTCAAAAAAAGTAATATTTTGGAATTATGTACAAGCATCATTATCCATTTAGAAACTAAAAAACTACATACAAATAGTATTATATACACTTTTCATACATATTTTGAAAATAACCAAAGAATAATATTACATGAATGAATGCATCAACGCCGTAAATGTAGATTTATTGCTGTAGGCTCGATAGAACTCTACATGACTATAGAGTAATTCAGTAAACTGTTAATAATAGTACCTAATTTATATGTATTAAATATTAATAACATTAACATGTTTAAAATTTTGACACTTTAACACGCAATTATTATCCTTATGTTGAGAGCTAGTAGTACTTTATTTATTTGTACTTATTTAAATGAATAATTTTCAAAATTTAATACTTGTTCTAACTTAAATTTATTCCATGTGCATCTAGTACCTAATGTGTATTAAAGTGATATATAATTTATTTATATTGATTAAACAAATATGTTTAGAACTTTGACATCCGGTAAATGATGCTTATCAATGTGTATTCGATGTTTATCAATGTGTATTCAGTGTTAGGAGGTCACTAATTTTATTTCTTTTTTTTTTTTTAATATATAATTGATATTTACAAAGTATGTATGTGGAACCTAACGAGTTTTAAATAGGTGATGAATTTATTAAAATTATTTGCACTTTCTTGTTAATCGACAAATGAAGTGAATGGAAATCAACAATTCAGTTGTACAGTCTGAGTTTTACATTTCAAGTATTAAAAATCTGATCTATTTATTGGCCATCATATCATTACATCAACGGTTCAGCTCAATCAACAAAATGAAAATGCATTTATATCACAATATCGAAATCGAATTCATTATTCTATCTTGAATATAAACATGATATCCAAATTTGAAAATGCAAGGAAAGTGAGCATACAACAAAGCTTAGAGCCCCTGCATTTGATGATAAATCATTTCAACAGCCTGCAAGATTACAGAAAAAGGCAGTAATCAGTGAAGTACTCGATCTAGCTAAAAGAAAATCTTCATGAAAAATAAATAAATAAATAAAATTATGTTGTAAACCTGAATTGACAGAGATTATTCACGAGCATTCAAACAAAAACGCATTGGTTCATACAATTGGACTGCAATTTACATATGCAACTTTCAAAAAACAAATAGGATGCATATTTGCTTTGCCTAAGTTTGATGCAAAGGTTACCGTTTCTAAAATAAAAATTAAAAAAAAAAAAGTTTGATGCGAAGGGTCTCAACTAGAAATATGCAAGAAGACTGCAATGTTACACACAGCAAAGAGATTTGCATGCGAAAAATCAATGAAATATCACGCTTGTTAAACCTATGTAGTTGTAATGAAATGCAAACTAAACTCAGTGACCTTCAAAGTTCATGCTTCAAACCATGAAAAACAGTGAAAATTTGCAGATGATGTAATTGTAAACATAAAACTGCATGTTATAATAGTGCAATAGTCCAGTTAATATCTTGAAACTTTAAGAACTGACAGTCCGTATTTCTCATGTAGGCCCAGTTCATTAGTACATAGAAATAAATGTTTAAATAAGAAGAAGAACAAGGGTAGTCAGATGCTACTAAAAGGCCGACACAATTTTTCAAGTCGAGCAAAGAAAAAGAAACAATAAAAACAAAAACGTAGTTCCATTTTAAAGTACCACAACTATGTGGCTATATTCTCTATTCCCGTTTCCTATATGGACATGTGCACCTAATCAGAAGAGACTTACAAAAGTCATTTTGCTTAGATAGAAACTGAGGCATTACAAATTATTGTTCATCCAACTATTACTCATATATCGTTATAGGAAAGGATGCATCAATTTCAGTGTCACTGCTTAATGAATCTATTGATTCAAACTATTTTTCTTATCGGTCTTCACTATTATCCTATAGGAAATCTTTGGATGACTTGTCAAAAAAAAAATATTTCGGCAACATAACTTCAATTCATGGTGTTGAAATATAAATTATGATACAATCTCTGTGGAAGAAATTCGGTAAAATATCACCTTACGTGTGAGTTTGCAAAAATACCATCCGTGTTTACGACTAACACAACACAAATGACATATATTACAACTAAAAGGAAAAATTTTTGTAAAGAGAATCAAAAAATGTTATTTTTTCAAATTTCCCACCAAAAATCATTCTTAACTTACCCTCGTTTTCACTATGAAACCGTCTGTTTCACCTAAATTCCTAATAGTTTTATCAGCCGATTTGGATTCAAATGCTATCCTATAACTGACCAATAAGGCAACAGTTGGGCAGGACTAATACCATATTTTTTGTAACAAAATTGCATACATTCAAATTGAAAAGTCATACTCTAAAAAGTAACATAAACAAAAATAGATGACATTACATAACATAAGCATGCATTTTTGTTACAAAGGCGCAAAGGATCGACCCGTCTAACTGTTAGAGCGTCTCACACAGGAATTTGTAGCCGGAAGTAAATAAATCAAAAACTACACAAATCTTGAAAAAAAAAAAGAAACAGCAGAAGAATTAAAAAAAAAAAAACTTAAAAATCTGAAATTGGGAAAAAATCGAAGGATACTGAAGAGAAAACGCTCCCACCAGTCGAGCATGTAGAGCCCAAAAGTGACGTTGTAGAGATAGATTTTGCGCTGCACCCAATTCATCACTCTTTTGTTTATGCTGTAAACTTCTGGTCTGTAGCTCACCTGGACAAAAACTGATCAGCCCAGAAGGAGAAAATGGATAAGACACAGGAATTATGAAAAATAAATGGGGAAAAACCGAAAAAGTGTTTATTTTGGTTCATGGTTGAGCTCCTTTACCTGAGGTGATAATGGCGGAAAGAAGGGAAATTTCAGTAGATTTTACTAATCGGAGTGTTTTGTCAAATTTATGGACTTTTCGGGTTGGCCCGCGTTGACGGGTCCGGTCTTCGTCTCCTGATATTAGTACTTTTCTATTTGAGACTGAGTCAATTAATAATTATATATCTTGAAAAAAAAAAAAAATTGTATTGTTGTTAGTTTGATTGTCCAGGCAATAGGCATCCATCTATTTCTCCAAGTGGTTGATGTATTGTTTGTGGTCGAACTTTGTATATATTTTTTGAGTTATAATATCTGTCGTTTTGAAAAAAAAAATAAAAAATTATACATATAATATGATTTATGTGTTTTGACGGTCACCAAAATCGAGCTGAAACCGAAAATTTGAACCATCATACAAGTGCAATAGTGCAACAAAAGTTGGTCACATTTATTGGGTTGATAACAAGTGCAATAGTGCCTCTCATAGCAACTTTTGGCTTTTAAGGCAAACAAATTAACTAGAAAACTAGTCACATTAGGAGGTTAGGCATCTACAACAAAAGTTAGACAACTATTTTTTCATTAACTATACAATTATACATACTTTTATTTTCAAACTTCAAATAACAACATAAACAAAAGCATGAGTTTTCACAGTAAAATATATATTTTTCTACAATGAAATGCAATGAGTCGACTCATCTAAATCGTTAGGCCGCCTCATTACAACATTTCAACGACAGTATAACAATTAAGAAGCTATATTTTTTCAGCAACTATACATACTTTAATTTTCAAACTTCAATCAACAACATAAACAAAAGCATGAGTTTTCATGTAAAATTTGCATTTTTCTACGACGTAATACGATTGGCCAACTCATCTAAATCGCTAGGCCGCCTTACTACAACATTTAACGACAATATAACCGTTAACCGACTATATCTTTTCAACAACTATACATACTTTAATTTTCAAACTTCAAACAACAACATAAACGAAAGCATGAATTTCACAGTAAAAATGCATTTTTCTACAAAAAAAACAGATAAGTCGATTCAACAAAAACAAAAGCATGAATCACATAGGCTGTAAACGAGCCGAGTCGAGCTCGATTTTACGGTGCTTGAGCTCGAGCTCAGCTCGTTTATCACTAATAACGAGACGATCTCGAGCTTTAACGAGCCAAACTATAGAAATTTATATAAAAGTTCTTTTTTCGAGCTTTATCGAGCTGAGCCGAGCTCGGCTCGTTAACCAAACAAGCTTTAAATGAGCTCGAGCTGAGCTGAACTCAAGTCTTAACGAGCCTAGCTCGGCCTCGTTAAATTTAACAGCACTTTAGTCACATACATGGAGCATGAACTCTGCAAAATCATGCTCAACTTATGCAACACCCACCATTTTAAGAGGCTGACATTTATTATGAGCCTGATCACAATCTCAAACAAAAGCAAACTGCAAAAAAAGCAAGACTCTCATTTTCAACCAAAGCCAAACCATAACAACAGTTATAATGTCTTATCATCATCATCATTCCCATATTCCCTTTCTGCTTCTGCTGTTATTTTCCATTGGGCTCTCGTTCGAAGCCTCGGCCCAGGACACGATTGCTGGATGTGGGCCAAGCCTGCTACCTTTGGCCTCATGTGGGCCGTTTGTGCAGGGCAATGCGGCTCATCCGGCACAATCATGCTGCCATGGCCTGGACCAGCTCCATAGCCAGAGGCCCGGTTGCATTTGCCTTTTGCTCCATGACTCGAATTTGCTGTTTGCATTTCCAATCAACACTAAACTCGCTCTTCAGTTACCTGCTATTTGCCATCTTGGTTTCGACGTGTCCACCTGTAGAGGTACTTTATTTTTTCAGAAGATAAGAAAAAACCAAGGTGTTCACATGACTTTTTTAATGAGCAAAAGCAAGAAAAGTTTATTAATATCGTAAAAATATGTTTGTGTTGTTTTTAGTCTATGACATGACATTCAGTTTGAAAGTAAGTATATATGTTAAAAATGCATGATTGTCTAACTTTTACTCCATTCTTAATGAATCAATTTAGGTGTATATGTGTAAAGTTTGAGAGAAAAGTGGCATAAATATGTTATGTTCAATTATCATATGGTTGTGTCTTTATCCCTCTCTAAATGCACATATTAATTTAACTATTTCAATTGTAGAGGATTCATGTGGAAGAAAAAATTAGTGCTTAAACCAAGGAAAATATAGGTTAATTGGTTGAATATTTAGTAGTTATTATAACTAGTTGAATATTTAAGTAATAACTAGTAAGTGAGAAATATGTAAGCAACTTCATCAACTTAGAAATGAATGTATATGCAAAATAATATCGAATTTTAAATGTGATTAATATATGAAGATAAATAGAGATTATATGCAGATGATAATATACATATGAAAATATTATTTATTTTGTTGTGTTGTTGTCAGGAGCAATTTCCTTACCTTCCCTTGCACCTCCTGCTAGAGCCTCTTTTGTGCCAATCCCTAATTCGAGTGTCGTGTCAGGTAAAAAATCTGTAGTTTTTCTTTTGGTGGAGCCTTTTCTCACTTCAAAATGATTCCTGCAAAATTCATGAAAAGGCTTTTTTTTTTTTTTTCNTTTTTTTTTTTTTTTCCAGCTTCTTCTCCAATGGTGACTATGACTCATAGACCGAATTTCAAAGGCATCGGCTTACATCAAAGTGCAGAAGTGAGTCTGAAGGCAAAACATCACATGTCGAAGCTAATGCTGATGCTGATTGTAGCTGTTGCTTGTATAATGCCAGCTCATCATGCTCGAATATAGAAAAATGACGAATCTAGAATTAGATGGTTCGGTTCATAACTTCATGCCCACTGAAAAAGTCCCTGCTTTACTCAATAACAATGTCACAACTAGTGTTAAAACCTTTAGTTAGATAACTCATGTTTTTATCCACAGTCCAAACAAACCCATCACACGAGAGTCAAAAGGGGCTAGCAAACAAAGTGAAAATGGGAAGAACTTAACAAAACAAAGAGGGAGTTATAACTTATTAGTATGCGGCAAACAAATGTCTAAGAACACGAATACACACATCGCGAACTGAAAAACTTGTGAAACCAAAGGGATCCCATCTCCAAAATATTGATTAGTTTGAAAAGGAGAGTAAGAATATTACACACGGAAGAATTTCGAAAGGTAAAAGGCTACAGGCGAACGCTTGAAGACATATACTCCAATGCCTATACATATTTCTTTCAACAATATGTTTTAAAAAAAGTTGAAGAAAAAATGTTTTAGAAAAAAAAATCTACTCCAAGCTAGGTGCTTCTTCTGTTGGGTTCGACTCGAAGACATCTGAGGTGGCAGCATCATCTAATTCATCAAGGTCCCGTGATTGTATTGCTTCCTTATAAGCGGGAGTTTCTTTGAAATCTGTTGCTCCCTCGTTATACGTAGCCACAGCTACACCACAAGCAACTAACTGCACCATTGAGTAATTACTAATTAGCCAGGATTAATTGAAAATACATTTGCAAAAAGACATTGACCTTTGCAGTATTAGCTGGTTAGCTGTATTTCACGCAGAAAGTTACAGTACAGGATCCTTCTTGCTAAAATGCAATTTCTATGTTCAGATTTCGATAAGACTAGAAGGCAGAAGCAATTGAACAAAAGTACAACAGTAGAAAAAGTCGGTTCTTTTAGTGTTCTGCCTACTAAATTATAAGAACAAAAGAAAATGAGTTAGGTTCATCATTGAATCTACTACATAACTCAGAATCAGACACTTCTTTTATTTGTCTAAAATTATCAACGCAACTTATTACACCTTTGTCACTAAAATAAGAGCCTCGGCAGCTTTAGCAGAGATAAACTTAAAACAAAACAGCCAAAAGCAAGAAAATCAGCATCTTAAGACACAACATTGCACCTGGCACAAGGAGTTGAACTATGTAGTTGGAACTAAAAATATTTGCCCTCCATCAAGTCAATTTGCTATATCAAACACCCATGTCATAAAATCCGAATTTCACATCGGGCATGTTTAGTGTGAACAAAATTTTCTAATAATTTTCATGGCCAACCTTCTTCTCAAAAGTCTTGGCTATCCATTTTCCACCAGAAGCGTCATACTTCCTCTCATATAACCTTTCATAATGGCCAGAATCTTTTATCACAGAACTAACCTTAACCAAGGCTTCTCCTTTTATCCACCCAATGCCTATTTAGAAACTAAACAAGTTTCATAGATGACTCTTGAAAGAAAAAAAAACACGGTTATTTTGCATATGGCCTTATATTCCTCCGCAATTACATCTCACAAGTCACAAGCTTTAAGCATATAAGAGATACAACGTGATCTCATAGTCCAATATGAATCTTCATAACATTTCAAACATATAAACTAAAACCAAACACTCAATTATCAGCAAACCAAACAAAAACAGCTTTTCACAGCAAAAACTAAGCTAAAACTGACAAACAGAACAATAAATAAAGAAAGAAAATAATGAACTTTTACCGCGAAAACAACGCCAAAAGCCCACATGTACTGAACGAAAAACCCTAGAGCGTCCCACTGGGGACCTTCCCAGAAGTCCGGCTTATCCCCAGGAAGCTCCGGCACGACAAATCCATCATCAACGGCGGCGGCACCAAACTCGTCGGCGCCGTTCACTTCCTCTCCTAAAGACCCTTCTTTTTCTTCTTCTTCCTCCTTAGTCGTCGTGAAAGGACTGTTTCTCCGGTTCTTGCTGTCGAATTTTCCGGTCCTCGACACCTTCGCGGAGACGGTGAAATTCGAGGCTCGCCGCGGAGGAGACAAAGGGTTTAGCGGCGGCCGGAGGAGCATGGTGCGGATGCACGGCGCCCCCTGAGGCGTGCTGCAGAAGATCCGGCTCAAACTACCGGCGAGCGCCATTGCTACTCGGCCGAGGTGTGGAGAATGGGAGTTCGTGAAGGGGAATATTTTGGGTGGTGTCCGTTGAGCGGATGACGAAGATAATTTGAGGATTATTACGAAGAAAAAGGAAAAATAGAAAATGTTGGTTTTTTCTGAAAAAAATAAAATAAAATAAAATAAAAAATTGACAATGTTGGTTAACAATTATAGAATTTGATAATTGAGTTAAAAAATAAAAATAAAAAGTGTAGACATGCACTAGTTATATAGTATTATATTTTTGAATTTTAGAACAATATCTTTTATTTATATACAATTGCTTTACCTTAAAGGTTATATATTGTTGTTTCTAATCATATATATAGATAAAAATCAAATAGATATAATAATTGTTAGTAAGATGTAAGAATGATAAATGTCATAGCATATAGTGTTATGTGTTCATGTTTACTATCGTATCTTCGTCTTATTATTTTCATTGTATCCTAAATACACCTTTTTATTTTATGTTTTTCGTGTTGTATTTTAGGTTGTATCTTGTTGTGCTAATGTTCATTGTGTCTTGTCAATATATATCCATATTGTCTAATTATCGTGTTTTAGATTGTGTTTTATCGTGTTCAACGTGTTTTTTAGCGCTATTTTTCTCTTAAATTTTTTTTCATGTAGTTGCATATTTAACAATACTAGTTGTCTATGTAAATATGTTCTCTAATTGTGACGCGTGTTCGTGTTTTATGACAACATTGTCTTTTAAAGGATATTTCAGAAACAAAACATTCTAAGAAAAAATTATCATTCATTGCCATCTCACTTTTTCTCTAAAAATCTCATTAATAAAAAAAATATTTAATATTAAATATTTTTGAAAAATAATATTCATTAACCCACGTATATCTAGCTACCAATCTTATCATTTAATATCTTATTGTTTTTATATTGCAACAATTTTAACAAGTATATTTATATTTTATATCCATTAGTAACTCAAAAATTTACACCATTATTTTTTTAAAAAAAAATATTTTTGTTATTTTACTTTGTCAGATGAAAATTTAAATTCTTAATGAAGATTATATCTAATTGCATGACTAGATTGGGCCCGACCGTCGACCGACTCCATATAGGTCAAAATTACAATTGAATACAAATATTTAACTTAAAAATACAACTCAAATCTAATTTAATTTAATTATCATTGATATTATATTAATATAATTAAATAATATCAATCAATCATTATTGAATAATTTTACAAAAATCAATATTCATCTACTTAATAACTTCCAATAATTTTCAATCATTACTTTTACATTTTTACATCATATCAACTTTAACCGTTACATTTTATCTCATATACACTTACAAATTCAAAATCAAATCTAAATCTCCACTTAATCAAATATTTTTAATCTTAAATTACATTATTCAATAAATCCAATTCAATACCGTAAAAACTTATATCCAATCCACTATCCTTCTTTAACTGGTTTCAGTTTGAGTGAGTTGGTTGATTCGAGATTCTAGGTCATCTTGTTGATGTGCCTCTCAATTTTAGTTTTAGGATTTGATTGGAAGTCTCCCCTTTGTAATAGAACGTTGTTCTCGATTGAGTAATATAGCTATTCTTATNAAATCCACTATCCGATAGATAGACCCGATTGGTTTTCGCTTGGGCCAGTCATTTGGAACAGGTCAAATAAAATTTGCCAAAGTTCATCCTGTTGGTTTTCATTTTGTCCCAACTCTCATATTGTACGTATTCAATCAGATGCTCGTTAGTCGTTATATTTAAAAATAATTCAAAAGCATAAAGCAAAGGAAAAAAGTAAAAGAAAAAGAAAAAAAAATGTGAGCTTGGTGGGAAGTTCGTCTGCAGAAACTTTCATATAATGAAGCGTACACACAGAAGGGTACAAATCCAAATGGCAAGAAGCATAAAGTCCATGGGAAAAAATAAAATAAAAAGTAACACTATTGTATTCAACAAGTTAAATCCAAATTCAATTTTGACAGGAAAAATACGGAAGATTTTTTTGATTCGTAAATAGATCCTTTACAACCATTCGGCTTTCTTCAAGCTCAAATGCTAGGACAAAAAATTTACCACCCTCATCGACAAAAAGCAAGTTCGCTTGCAATTGCAAGGTGGTCACTACCCAATTGCTGCAAAGAGACCAAACGTAGTGAATGAAAATTTAGTGAAGACAATTTTTCATTTTTAGTTACCAACAAGTTCATCAGCTAGTATAAGTGCTTTATAAACTTTTAAATTGAACCAACTTTTCATTTCAGAACTGTTTCTTCTTCAGTTTGACAATCTAGTTTGACAAAATTATACAATAAACAAAGTGGTTTGAACATCCCATAATAAAACTAGGTTGCGTNAAAAAAAAAAAAAAAGCTAACCTTGCATGGAAGACCTCCTGTTTGCTTTAAACTGGCCATAGGCAAAGTTTCAAGAACTCTCACTGGAAAAAGGTCTGGAGTATGCCTGTTCAGAAGCAAGTTGTGTTTTGCCGAAAAAGATTTAAACATGCAAATCGACAAAGTATAATCACTAAGGCTATGTTTGGTAAGCCTAGCTGATAAGCTAGCTTATAGCTTTTAAGTAAATTTTGAGTTTATAGCTGATAGCTTATGAGTTATGGGTGGAAAGCTAGCTTATATGATAAAAGTGTTTGGTAAATTAGCTGAAATAAAAATTTCAATGGGCTTATTTGAAAAGGTACACAAGTAAGCTTATAAGATAAGCTCGAGCTTTTTAAAAAAAACTCGTCCTACCAAACCAAGCTTATTTGAATATAGGAAACTTATTAACTAATCAAACTAGCTATAAGCTAGCTTATATGCATACCAAACACAGCCTAACACAAAACCTCACGTCTAAATATCAGAATTCAGAAACATAAATACCATATGTAGTCAACTGTTCCACAAAAAAAGGAATGATAAGATGTTGCCAGAGGTTCTCCATTTTTATCCCTAACCTCCGAGCTTCCCTACAGACAGATCACAACAACGTCTATAGATCACCGAACAAACTAAAGAGAGCCCAATGAAGAAATCAAATTTAGATTCTGCAATGCATTATATGTATTGCATTATATGCAAAGGACAGGGAAAATCTTACAGGGACTTCAGAATAGGCACTGCTGAGGTTTAGATGATGCGTTAGACGTAGATTACTACCAAGTCTTGATCCAGTGGCAAGCATTATTTCTTCTTCAGTCCATCTATTCATCAAGGAACTGTGAAAACCACAATAACTTTAAAGCGAGGCTTTGGATTTGCAAATTGTACAAGTATTGTCTGAAAAAGGGTGCAAATTACATGTCTCTCTCATTAAGGCAACTAATTCCCTTCATAAATCATAACTCAGACAACTTATATTGTAAGGTAATATACGTGTTTAGTTTCTTTAGGAGGGTTATTTTTATGTAACTAGTCGTTTTTTAGCCACAAAAGATGATGAAAATATCTGATTACCTTGTTACATGATTAACCCAAGACTTGGGTTTTAGGAATCGAGATGGAAATATCTGACCAGAAATGTGTTTTCGCTCAAACTGTTGGAAATCCAACTGTTGAAAACTAAGAAGATTTTAGAAATTTTATATGACTCAAATTTATAAGGAACTTCAAAAGGTGTTGTGTTGCATGGCAGAAATTCACAGGACAGACCTCAGATGATGCCATAAACTGATATATTGCACTCTGGATAAACAAAAGATTAAAAAGTTCAAATATAGGAGCAACGAATAATAGTTTTGCAAATTTTAGTTAGAATTTCGTGTTCACGACTCACTTGTGGCAAGCTATTCAGGTCCCCAGTAAGAATAACTGGTATTCGTCCATATTCTTGTGATAACTCATACGCTTTCTCAAGAAATATTCTCATCTACACCCACCAAGATAATATATCATAAACAACGGCATTCATAAAAAGCGCCAATAGAAAATATCAAGTAAGCATGAACAAGACAAGTCTAGAAGCAAATCAAGTTTTTCTTTTTTTTTTTCTTTTTTCTATTTATGTCGACGCAACCAATATTTAAATTGCAAGGAACTATTATCAACTTGATTACCTGACCCAATTTGATGTCTCCACGCTTGGGGTTGTAAAGGACATGTATGTTCCCAACCAGTAAACTTGGAGAGGTAATAACACTGAAATAAACATTTGTCACACAAATTATGAAGAGAATAATAACTATTAAATGAGAGAATGGGAATTGATATTTCACAAGTCAGTACCATTTTACAGCAGGAAAAACAAAGTGTATAAAAAGAAATATCGAATTTGATGTACAAGATTGACTAGAAAAAGGCAACGAATAGTACCATGGAGGCTGTGCAATATCGTCTGTGCTTGGCAGGTCTTTATTCATCTGAAAACAGGCCATTTACAGAAAATAACATATGGATACATAACAGAAAATATTGTCCATGCTAGGACCGAACCAGAATCAGAACCAAAGGTTCTTGGTATGAGAAACATAACAGAAAATTCACATCCATGAAGTACGTATTTGATCTGAAGTAAAGTGAACCCTAGTGCAACAAATCCAAACATCGGTACCTTCAAAACACAAAATTGTGCAATGTTTTGACGAAGACCAAACCTCTCGAACTCTATGTTCTCTTCATGCAACAGAGTGAATCTGCAGTATATTATACACATCCTACATAAGGACAAAAATGCTAAAAAAATATTTCGTTAGGAGATAGCATATGTCCCATTGTCCATGTCCATGAAAAGCGAAAATTGAAGCTACAGATACAACAAAGTGAAAAGGACGTACAGGAAAATACCAAAGAGTCACAATTCACAGTTTTAGACCAATAAATTAACTTGAAACTATTCCAGGAAAAATGATTCAATGCAACACACTTATTTAATTCAAGAGAACATTTCTCTAGATGATGGTGTGAGCCTAATAAATAAAAATAAAAACAGAAAAAATAAGGTTATGAAGGCCTACTGCAAAAATGAAAACCAAGTAAATTTTTTTTATTCGAGCAGGAACTCAAGCAATGTGACAACATATAAAAGGGAAGTATCATACAGCTCAGATTTCCAAAATATAGAGCATCCATCAAGTGCTTCACCCCCACGAGCCTGATGAACCAAATAACCAACTGTAATCAATATTGTTTGCACCGTAGTGCAAAAGGCAACAAAAGTCGCAATTGCATACAAACCTTGTACACACCTCTGAAGCCGTCTTTTCCAAGAATATCATTAAGATCATCATAGTGATCAACTTCCTGAGGTCACCCAAGATAACTATGAGAATAAATCAACATCTGGGAGCGCAACTCAAATCAGGTATATGCTTTGGACAATAATGATACTCCCTTTAAAATAATTATTTAAAGATAGAAAATATGAAAGCATTCTAACTTTCTAAGAACTTTAACCAGTATATTAAGAAGTACAATGTTGGAAAAAACACAAAACGGAAAGGTAAATTAGAAAATATTTTTTCATAACAAATCTTGATGACAACAAAATCCCAAGCTGAAAAATTACTCTGTATTCTGATATATAATGCTGATTTCAGTTTATTATGGGTGTGCAACCATATGTTACACATCAAATAAATTCATCATTTATCAGAACAGAACAAATGAACAATGCAGGTGATCAAACATTATGCTCCGAGAAGTGCTTTAGCTTGCCTGGAAACACAAGACACTTGCTCGGTATTTCTTGACTTCTTTATACAGAAGATTTTTCCTATATTCCCAATCCAAGTGCTTTGGCCGCACGTCCCTATACAATTCTGGATGATTTCTCGCATTTTCAGCCGCAAGTATGTTATACGATACAATAACAACCCGGTCTGTTTTAAGGAGCATTTAAATAAAAAGGAAATCAATAAATCCAGTCAGCAAACATTAGACAACATAATTGTTTTCACATAAAACTGATGGAAGTCACACAACATCAATTTGATTACACTAAAAAGGCATAAACTTAAAAAGGGAAAAAATCACTTTTGGTACCCCAATTATACCACCTTTTCGCTTTTTGGTACCCGAGGTTCCAACTTAATCAGTTTCTATCACTAAAGTTTTTAAAATTAATCAGTTTTGGTGCAAACGTTAAGAAAAATGTTAAATTTGACAGTCACCGCCTCCGGTGACGGATTTTAACAAGTCATATACCATTTGAAAGATCTCGACTCGACTTATCCAATGGTATATTTTATTTCATCATATGATGTCTCGAAGTTCATTAAAATACGCCTTAATGTTAGAAAACCACTTCCTGAGGAATCCAATGATGTAGCTCGATCACCAATCGAGCTTCTCAATCGCCTGATATAAGCCGGTGAAGTTTCCAGCTTTCCGGCGAATTGCGGCAGATGAGAAATGTGGTATTTTTGGGGTACCAAAAGTGAAATTTTCCCAACTTAAAAACCACTTGTCTACATTGTAGAATAGATAATGCCTACTCCTTTGTACTAACTAACAATATGGATGATATAGAGTATATTCAGCATCAAGCCAGGCAATGCAAACAGAAATCCTACAAAAGGGCTAACTTAATTGTGTAAAAAACTTCGTTTAAAAGGCTTCAACAACGAAAAATATGGAATTAATAATATTCAGAACATGCTAAAGCAAATATATTTCTCAAGTTCTTATAGTTTCGTAGATCTTTTTTCCACAATCACAGAGTTTACTTTCACACCACAACGCAAATTCCCAACTGAAAACCCACAACTAAGTTCATAAATTCAGAACAATGAGCTGGATTTTGTTCTTCTGGAGACTATAATTAACTTAGAAAATCACATATTCCACCCATAGCGCACTTACCCTTGTAATCAGACACGTCCCGAGTAGAATAAGTCCACTTGCGCCGACAGCGATTCCTGCGGCGGCACCGCTTCGGACGGCTCCCGTCTTGGCCTCCGACGGAGGACCTCGTATGCCTATGTTCCGACTCAAGGTGTGTGCGAAGTTTGGGTTTTATGGTATGAACTCGGATACGGGTCTCGGTATCTGCAGATGCGAACTTCTGTTTCTTTGTTCTGTGGTGTCCATGGTAGGCATCGTGGTAGCCCTTACGTTTTCCGGCCGAAGGTGGAGTAGGAGAAAACCGCCGCGCCGGCGTAGAGTGGGTGGCGCCGCCGGCGTGTGCCTTGACTGTGGAGTTCGGAGTCATAATTAGCTGTACGAGCCAGGCGTCTCTAGGAATTTGGATGCGTAAGACAAGTTTGTCTTTGGAATTTCTTTTAATTTCAACTTGTGTGGTAATTAGGGGATTTGTATATAAGGGGATTTGTATATAGAATTGTAGAAGGAAAAAAAATAATTAAATAAGACTATTAAATAAATAAAAAATATTTTTCTTGTTTTACTACACTTCGCAATTGATAAATTATCTATGAGTTACAAATATCTTTAATAAATTACATTCAAACAGTCAGGAGGACAATCAGGAGAACAAAATAAAAACTATATCACTACAAATAATATTTATTTTCACACAATTGTGTCCTGACCAAACATCATAAGAAAACAAATAAAATATTTAAGGCCTCAAATTCCAACACAAAGTACATATTTTGCCATTAGTTCATTCATTAATTAGCCACTTCATTTGTGAAATGGACCAACTCTATATTAAGCCATTAGTGTAAATAGGCCAAACCCAACACAACTAGATAATATTATGGGCCTCAAATATGTGGAAGCCCTAGACATTGCCTAGGCTGCCTCCCCAAAGAGCTTGCCCTGGTACGAGCTCGAATGTTCGGCTCGACACGACAAAACAACACAAAACTGAAAAATCGGCTAATATTGCTTAATTTAGAATGATTTCACCCGAGAAAAATGTCTCAGTTGGGGGCATTTAGGTAAGTTTAGGTACACTAAAGTAGCTCATCAAGTAATCGAACGTATGAATTACCGAGTCGAATTTAAGTTCATATTCAAAAGTTTTTGAGCTCTAGCTTGAGCAAGAACTCGATGGCTCTCATAATGTTTGATTCGTTTGCAGCTCTAGTTATAGACTTATAGTTATGTTCTAGTATTTTTTTTATTTTTTATTTTTTTTTCAAATTGTGAGATTGGTTAGACTTATAGATATGTTGTAGTATTTTTTGTTTCAAATTGTGAGATTGAGAATAGTGTTGTTAAATTAAACGAGTTTGGCTCGGTTCGGCTCGTTAAGGTTCGAGTTCGAATCAAACGAGTCGAGCTCGAGTTCATTTAAAACTCGTTTGATTAACAAGTTGAACTCGACTCGATTCGATAAGGCTCGAAAAAAGTTTTTATATAATTTTCTATAGTTCGACACGTTAAACCTCGAGATCGGCTCGTTAAGGCTGGACTCGGCTCGTTATTAGTGATAAACGAATCCAACTCAAGTTTTTAATAAAAAATCATCCTACCGAAACAAATTTATTTGTATACATAAAGATTTTAAGCTAATCAAATAAGTTATAAGTTAGCTTATATTGCTTACCAAACACAGTTGTTAGATGCATGGTTCCATCGTACTATATTTAATAAAATACATACTTATACTATGAAATATTATGATTTTATTTATATTGCTTTTAGGATATGATATTTCAATGTAAAAGTCACATATATTTAAAAAGCATGAATGCTCGTCTTACATTTCTTAATAAATACATGTTACACTATGAATTTCATATCATAATTTTATGAAGTTATCTTTTAAAATATGACATTTTAATTATAAATAACATATATCTGTTGAAAAAGTATGCATCTATATTCTATCCGTCAAACTTTTGTTTAACAAAAAAACATATTTATACTATAAAATATCATAATTTTATTTATATTATTTTCTAAGATATGACATTTCAATTTTAAAACATGCATATATATTGAAAAAAAAATATATAAATTTCTAACTGTTAGCCCAACAAAAAAGTAGTATTACTAAAAAACGGTAAATCCTGTTATTAGACCGGCCAAACCATTAGACAATATACAAATTAAAAAGTGTTGTACTTTGTAAAATATCTTAATAAAAATATGACAAACTATGAAATTTAATAATATATATATGTGCATTTTCGCATTTTTGTTCAAATCGTATTGCAAATCATCCCGCCTAAGACTCCTACCAAAATTTGCCACTAAAAAAATGTCTTGCGCGAGGTCATTGGTTGTTGAGAATGAGAAAAAACATTTATGTTGGGATTTGTTTCAAAGAGCTAGCATCCAACTGTGGATGAGAAAGACCATAAAGTCCTCACCAAAAGCCCTAAATATGATTCCACTTCAAAACCACCATTTTTCTCTATTGAATTTAATCCATAGTTATCCACACGGCGCCCAAAACAACTTTCAAAAAGTGAGAAACAACAAAAGAAAATAAAAAAATTGTATATAAAGAGGATGAGATTTCTGTGTTTCAAAATCATATTTCAATTATTCTTCCTCATTCAATATTTCTCTCTACATCTCCATCTCAAGCGCTTGACGCCAAGGAGGTCGATAAAAAAAACGATCACACATCATATCACCCTTTCTCAAAGAAAAAACTATCGCCAAAACCTGCAATCGTCTTCATGTCGAACACAATTATGCCAACTTATGTTTTCTTGATTTCGAAGATAATAACAGTCGTAGGGCATTTCACTGAAAAATTCGATTCAGCAGTTAAGATCTACATTACGTGTGTAAATAGAGGAGCTTCCTTTAAGTCCAAGATCGAGGGCCGAGAAGCGGCTAGAGCTGCCATCTCATGCATTCGGTTACACTTGAAACGTTTGGGACGCTTACAATTTGTGACCACTGCATGAGGCGGGAGCAACTCCTTCCGTTTGCTTCGCCCGCTAATTGGACTGAAGGGAGCTCCTCATAATCTAACCAATACACGCACCCACACGCATGAATCGATCACTCGAGTCAAACAACATTAGGAAAATTGCAAGCAATTTTAGTTCTGTATGTGTAACTACCTAACTTTTCCGTCCCCTTCGAATTGCTGTTTTGAATTTCGTCCATTATGTTTGCAAAAACGTCGTTTTTTGCAACAAAAAAAGTCCCCTTGCAACTTGCAAAAATGTTGCAATTTTGTCCCCTTCAAATTCAAATTGCTCGGGGACCATTTTGTAACCTATTTGCAAGTATAAGAGACGTAGATCAAAACAGACGAACAAGTTACGACAATGAAACATACAAGACTAATTGTAATTTACTCTTCAACATCAGCTTAATATGTTTGAGATGTAACTTGGCTGCTTTTCCTTGTATAGTTCTGTACCAATGAAATAATGTTGTCATCATGGGTAAATGCAGGAAAGGAGATCAAAAGGAGGGTCACAACATGATATGAAATACAGACAGGGGAAAACTCAAGATGCACGTCAAGTTACACAAATGATGTTTTTGTATTTTACTATTCTTAGTAGTAAATCACCAAGAAATTATGTAATTCACTTTTCAAACAAACAGAATAACATATGTCCTATTTCTGTAAAACTGTAGTTCCTATACTGGCTCTGCTAGTGTTGGCTAGTTAGCATTCTAAGATTTGCAAGAGAATGAGTTCTTGGTTCCGGACCACTGATTCCACATTAACAATATCAAATAGTTTAGGAATGATATGAAGGTATACTCGCACTTCATAAACTCAACCACACATAAAATAATAACAAATTCTTGCACTAGTTAACATTATTTGTCTTTATCCATCCATTTGAGGTATAACTAACCACAAGTAAGATACACTCTTACTATCAAAGTGGACCTCTCCTCTGAACGAATGCTTGGTGACCAAGAAAGGGCAGCGAATAGGGGAATTTTTTTGGACTCTTGAGAGAGATGCAAGCAAGTCCAGTGATGATTCATGCTTTTAACGCTAGCAACTAAGCATTTTTTGCGCTTTACCACCTAATGACATAAAATCACTTGTATAATAAGTTACATGTTCACACATGTACTAGGAATTGGTACACTCACGATCACTAGTTAAGACAGGAATAAGATATCACAGAGGGAAAATTAGCCATATGTACCAATCCTTTATCATCTTGCCAGACAAAAATAATAAAAATTGTGTGTGTGTGTGTGTGTGTGT